TATCTGAAGCATTTTAATTTTGATAAGAAATCTCTGGATCTGGCACTGCGCGAATTTCTGCAGCAATTCTCACTATCCGGAGAGACACAGGAGCGTGAACGTGTGCTGGTACATTTCTCAAAGCGTTTCCTGGACTGCAATCCCGGCACATTTAATTCGCAGGATGCCGTGCACACGTTAACATGCGCCATTATGCTGCTGAATACGGATTTGCATGGCCAGAATATCAGTCGTAAAATGAGCTGTGCTGAATTTGTAGACAATTTGGCCGATCTCAATGATGGCGAGAACTTTCCTAAGGATGTGCTTAAGTATTTGTATCAGGCCATCAAAACGAAGCCGCTGGAATGGGCACTGTAAGCAATTCAATTAATCAATTAGCATTAGATTCGCATTAAGCTGATCTGATCTGTTTTTTTAGGGATGAAGAGACAGGAGACCAACAGCAACAGCAGCGGGCAACCAACAATAGCGGGTTGACTGGTATCAGCCAGAATCCTTTCCTGGATGCTCCCGAATCGGCTACGGCAGTAGAATATAAAAAGGGCTATGTGATGCGTAAATGCTGTTATGATACCAGCTTTAAGAAAAGTAAGTAATAGTAAATAATTCTTTAGAAAAATCCTTTCATGTTTTAATTTTTTTTCAAAATCAGCTCCCTTTGGCAAACGCTCGTGGAAAATGTTTTTCATAACGTTGCGCGATCTTGTTTTATATCTGCACAAGGACGAGCACGGCTTTCGTAAAAGTCAAGTAAGTGTAGCGTAGTTGCTGTCATGAGAATCAATTTGCTTAACACCTCGCTGTAATCCTGACAGATGTCCGACAATCTGCATAATGCTATACGCATACATCACGCACTGGCCACGATGGCCAACGACTACACTAAAAAGCAACATGTGTTCCGGCTACAAACAGCCGATCAGGCCGAGTATCTGTTTCAGACAAGCGACTCGAAAGAGCTACACTCTTGGGTGGAGACCATTAACTATGTGTGCGCAGCGTTTTCGGCTCCGCCTCTAGAAGGTGGCGTGGGCAGTCAAAAGCGTTTTCAGCGTCCGCTGTTGCCTAGCGCACAAACTAAACTGTCGATGGTGGGTGTCACTTCTATAATGACTGCAATATTTATTAATAATTTGCTAATACCCAAATTTGCAGAAGGAGCAGCTTGATTCCCATGAGCTTCAAGTGACCCAGTTAAAGCATGAACTGAAGGAGCACCAAAAGACGCCCGTGCCTAGCAAAGGCTTGCCCCTGCAGAACTTCAAAGAGAAGGAGGCCTACTTACAATATGAGGTGCGTGCTGATAGACAACTGACTAAAATGCCTATTAACTAATATATGAATTCCCTAGCTACGTCGCTACGAGGCTTATGTAAGCATTTTAAACGCCAAGCTGTTGGCCGAACAACAGCCATTGGAGTTGCAGTGTCAGCTGACAACACAGCCAACGCTTGAGGAAGATGCGGACACATTCCCTATGGGCTCGGTTAACATGCCCACAGCGCCGCAAAGTATTAATACTCAACAGCAGCCGCTACAGTCACAACAGCAGCAGCAGCAGCAGCAACCTCAGCAGTCAACCAACAGCAGGTATAGTCAGCAACAGCGAGCCAGGAACTCCTCTAGTAGCGGCAATGCCCAGCAGGACATTGGCTGACGCGTAATGGGAGTTTTCTCAGCTTGTGTGGTTTAATGCAATACACTCCCTCAATAAGTTACTTTTCTCGTTAATTGCGTGTTGTTCAGTTGTTTTCTGTGTTCGTTTCAACCCTCAGCTTGTGTTGCTTTGTTAATGGTTGTGTTTGTCAGCTAGTCTTCTTTCATAACCTTTTTTGTAAATACAAACCTTCCCGTGTTTTAAATGTTTTGTGTTGCGCTTCGCATTAATTGTACGTTCCAGGGGTTTGTCTCCCATCAATACTGTAATTTTTATACCATGCAGAAAGCTTTAATGTCAACGTGTTGTCAGATTAAAACTTAGCAATAATGAATTAATTCAGAATTAAGAGTTGCGCGTTAGCAATTAAAACTTCAATGCGAATCCTAATATAATTAGTTAATGTTAACACATGTTTTTTTATGTTAGTTTTTTAAAATCCACACAAATACTGTGAAAACTCCAAGTAACAAATTATTAGAATCGTAAGAAGGCATAGTTTCGCTTAGTTTAAAAGATAATGATAAACAGAAAAAGAATTTTTCTAGCACTTGTAGTAAACAAAAATTTTTGGCGTTTAACGAAAAAATTAGATCACAAGAAAATTAGCAAAAACAAAACACAAATGTGGTTCAAATGTAGTAATGTTTACTGTTTATACCTTGCCTAAATGCATTCTAAATATACATGAAAATTGGTAAAGTCGTTTATAAAGCGAATACATTTTAATATATACCTAATATATACATATATATAAACATAGTTATAGTATGACAAGTTATATGATTAGAGCTCTTTGAGTCATATGCGCGCACACCCATACAAATATTCTAATGTTTCTGTTTGATAATCAAAGTAATTGTGGCCTAGTTGTTAAAAAAAGAAAACATAAGTTATACATACACACACACACATACACACTCACAGGCATTTCACGCACACTGACGTATACTATATAAGAATCATGCTAACCATGTGGACAACTCATATGCAAATGCTGCTTGTTTTCAGCATTCTCCCTATTATGTTGCGTTATGTTTCAAATCAAGCAAGCAAAATGGCAAAAACCAAAAAGAAGAATTCTTGAATTTTTACAGATGGTTCGACGATGGCGCCTGCTGTTGTCTGGCGCCCTGGCGGCAATTGTTCTCCTATTTCAAAAGCCACTAAACATGCAATTCTTAACACAATTTTCGCTTAGCGATGACACAAAAGCATCAAAGACAGCAACAACAACAATCACAAGCAACAATTGCACATTGGAGCCAAGCAACAAGAACAGCAAGAACAACTTTAGGAACAACAACATACAAAAGCAATATTTAATAGATATTCAGACCTTAAAATGTCTCGCCCCAAATGTGAGCAAATGAGTCAAATGCAAAATTTTTATGTTAAACATTATTGTCAACTGTCCATTTCAAATAGCTTGGCTATATATATATACTATATATGATCAGAATATATATTATTTTCATTTTTACAACATGCATATGTTCTTATATAATTTTAAACATTAATATAATTTTTATTAATATCATATTTGATTTTCCCTTTCAGAAAAGAGAAGAAAAAGAAATAATTACGCATTTTCGTTTCGCTATTGATTTTCATCATTTCAACCACACACTCAAGAAACAATTGGCAATTGGTAAGTGCCAACATTATTAACAAAAAAAAACAACATAATTGAAATAATTCATAATTCTTAAACTTATGCGTTTTTCTCTGTTCAATGCAGCCCATGATAATGATCAAATACTCCAACTGCCACACACTCACACACACAACACTCAAATCGCTTACCAATACATCACTCACATGGAAGGGCACTAGACGATGCTGATCAGCAAGGGATTAGGGGGAGAAGGGGATTAGACTAAATAAAGGAAAAGAAGAACACTCACGCATTGCGGCTGTGCCGTGCCGTCGTGTGACGCCTAACAGTCTGCCAATAATTCAGAATTTATGTACATTTCTTAAGCTACATAATATATTATGATGACTATCTGTAAACGCAAGTTGTTAATGGTATTTAGGTCCTACATACAAAACGCTCGTTCAACAGAGAACTACAAAAATTTCGAAAGATTAACTCAGACCAATTATTTTGCTATTTTATATCAAGTTAATTGAACCGATGTCTGGTTTACAATCTAATATTTAAGCATATTCACTTTAGATCGAATAAGTGGAATACGAATCCTTGCAATTTTGCTGAGAGCAAATCCCTGCTAGTTGTGACGTATAATCTTAATTGAAGTCTTTGGAGAAATGCCTAACTTTAATGATGATCTATTATTTGGCGGAGGACTCTGATGAACGGCAATTTGTATTGTACCCCTTATACACTGCTTAATCACATACAAAAAATTATTATTTAAAAATTAAAGAAACTTACATCATTACCTATGCTATCATTATAAATGATAAAAATAAATTATTAAATTTCTCTATACAATAAAAAATGAACAACAGCGAATTATATAGAAGAGTTATATAATTTGCTCGATTAGCCTCTTTGCGTTAAGTATATTTCTCCAATATATTTATGTACGGCTGCAAATATATTTATATATATACATATATAATTATTTATACAAAAAACAATTGGTTGATTACGCGACAAGTCCACGTAGTTAGAATATGAAATTAAAAGAATCGAGAAGAATCACACATTAAAAGAAAAATAAAACGAAATACAATAACTTTGACTACATACATATGTATATTTTTTAATATATATTATATTGTGTAATTATGTAAATGTAACTGTATAACAATTGTTTATAATTATTTTTAACAATTCTATTAAAAAGGCAATAAATTGAAAAATCAAACAAAACAATTAAAAGAAAACTAAAACTTATGCTGCTTAAAAAGAATATATGTGTATATACATATAATTTATTTAATAATTGTGAAGAAACACATTGTAATCCGAAATTTCTTTCAAAGGAAAAAAGATTTATCGTTAAATGGACACGCTTGACGAGACAAGTGCTAATGTTATACATATATACATACACATATGCGTATACATTTAAAATTATATATGGTTAAGTGTATGAGAACCAATCACAAAAGCATGACACATTAAAAACTTCCAACAAACTTTACCAAAATGGGTTTGCTTATTTTCTATAACATATTCATTAGCAGACTTCCGTTCAAAGCATCGCGGCAATACTACTGCTTTATCGATATTCGATATAATGCTATCAATAATTTCTGGTAGCAGAATGCTTAACATTTATGTTAATAACAGATGAAATATAGGCATCGATACCCAATGGTATTATTGTACAGATGTTATTGTCTTATCGTTAATCTACTGTTTGGAGCAACAGCTGTTACTAACAGCTGATTGATCGGCAACATTTTATGTTTGTCCGTTAAGTTTCCGTTGCGGTTATTTATCAATTAAAATAATGCAATATAGCTTATTACATGCAGCCTTTAGGGGCTACAGGCTATTGGTGAGACAACATGCACATTTCATCAAACGTTGTTATAGTGGAGATATTAGAAACATTGGGATTTTAGCACACATCGATGCAGGTAGTTTAAGTGCACAATGGTTATAAAATATTTATAAAGGTAATGGAAAAAACTTTTAGGCAAAACAACAACAACCGAACGTATGCTTTTCTATGCCGGGAAGACCCGGTCCTTGGGTGAAGTGCACCGCGGCAACACGGTAACGGATTATCTTACACAAGAGCGCGAACGAGGCATCACTATTTGTAGCTCAGCCGTTACGTTTGGCTGGAATGGTAAGCGGTGCGTGTCCTTTAATGAATATTAATAACTGTACGCTAAATTGTGATTTTACTTAGTATTAATCTGCTAGACACGCCCGGTCACATTGACTTTACAATGGAGGTAGAGCAGTCTCTTTATGCTGTTGATGGTGTTATTATTGTGTTGGACGGCACTGCTGGCGTGGAAGCTCAAACCGTCACCGTTTGGACGCAGGCAGACAAGCACAAGCTGCCACGACTTATTTTCGTTAATAAGATGGATCGTCCCGATGCGAATTTTGAAAAATGCATTGACGATTTAAAGACGAAACTGGATGCTAAGCCCATCTGCTTGCAAATTCCTACAAAGAACATTGACGGACAGTTGGGTAAGCGAATTGGAAAAAGTAGACATTAGAAATGTTTAAAATCAATATCTTCCAGGCCTATACGATGTGATAACATTGGAGCACTTAACCTGGGAACAAAAGGATTTTGGTCGCATTTATAACAAAGTTAAGGTGGAATCGTCTGATGCGCTTCGAAAATTGCAAGATAAACGCAGCGAATTGATTGATGAGCTATCCGGAATCGATGACGAATTGGCTGAAGTTGTCATTAGCACTGAGAGCTTCGACAATGTCAGTAATGAGCTAATTGTGCAGGCACTGCGACGCGCCACGTGCAACCAGAAGGTTGTGCCCGTACTGTTGGGCTCCGCATATAAAAATATTGGCATACAATGTTTGATGGATGCTGTGAATGCTTATTTGCCAACACCCGGTGAACGAAATCAGATATATAATTGTTTTGGGTAATTAATTGTTAATCATTAGCTGTATGTATGCCCACCATAGTATTACATAATTGCAGCAATGATCTAGCGGGCAAGGTGTTTAAAATTGTGCACGACAAACAACGTGGTCCACTGACTCTGGTGCGCTTGATACGTGGGGAGCTGAAGCGAGGAATGCGTGTTCTCTCTTCAGGTGGACAGGCGGAGGTTATAACGAAAATTTATGAGCCACTGGCTGATGAATATCGAGAAGTGAACTCCATCCAGGCAGGCGATGTGGCCATTTGTTCGGGCCTTAAGGTAAGCCTCAAATAAACAATTGATTCGTGATAAACAGCATTTTTACAGTCAACAGTTACTGGTGATCTGCTTACGACCAGTCACACATCCTTGAAGAATGCACAGAAACGTTATATGCAGAGTCGCGACACCGCTGCTCCACCAAAAGATATCGAGAATGATGATGATGATGAGTTGGACGTGAGTCATGAGCTGTTTTCCATTGAACCCAAAATACCTGATGCAGTCTACTTCTGTTCCATTGAGCCGCCCAGCATATCAGCGCAAACGGCCATGGAACAGGCGCTCAAGCAACTCCAGCGCGAAGATCCCAGTCTGCGTGTTAGCTATGACTCGGTAACCGGGCAGACAGTTCTTGGCGGCATGGGTGAACTCCATATGGACATCGTTAAGTCACGTATGCTAACTGAATACAAAATCGATGTGGATCTGGGTCCGTTACAAATTGCCTACAAAGAGACTATCGAGGCGCCGTCCAAGACAACTTTGAGCGTGGAGAAAGAAATTGCGGGCAGCAAGCAAAACGTGAATATAACCCTGGAGCTTGTCAATAATCAGAGCGAGCTTTTCAGGTATATGCTAAGAGTAGGTCGTTTTGCGCGCATTCGTTACATATTTGCTTTACAATAGCTTAGATAAATCACCTGAGAATTTGCAAAATCTGAATGCCCTGCGTCCTAGGATTCTTCAAGTGCTGCGCAAAGGAGCAACCGCTGCTTTGGAGCGTGGACCACGAGTTGGTGGTCACGTAGTGGATACTCAGATACGCTTACACAGTATCACTGTGGGGCGTGGCACTGCCGACTCATTCGTAATGGCCGCGGCGGCACAGTGCGTACAAAAGGTTAGTCCGTCTCTTTTGATTTTCTTCTAATGAAGATACAATTCAAATTTATGTACTAGCTCCTAAGCACAAGTGGCACACGGCTATTGGAACCCATCATGACCATCCAAATTGTAGCCCCCAATGAACGTATATCTGCAATTATGGCAGATCTGTCTAGACGCCGCGCACTTATAAAAGACGTTGCGCCGAAAGGAGACAGGAATAAGGCAAGATAATGCCATTTTGAACTTGAATTATATGATGTTTGAACTACTTATCTTTCAGCAAATTTTTGTGAATGCACCCTTGGCCGAGCTATCCGGCTATTCCAGTGCACTGCGTACGATCAGTTCCGGTACGGCCAGCATGACAATGCAGCCATGCGGCTTCTCTGAAATGAACGCCGTTGATGAATCGATAGCCGTGCGTCGTGCTCAGGGCTTGGACTGACATATTAATGGCTGCCTTGTTTTAGTTACCCAATAAATATTGTGCCCAGTAGCAAGTGCAAAATGTGTCGGTTTATAATTGTTGACGTTTGATAACCAAATTAATTCTGTACTTATTTTCGACAATATTTTTTTAACCATCAAAATACAATTTTTAATCTGTGTTACAAAATTCAAACTCTATGGTTCTAAAGTATGGCATTCTCTACGCAAAAAATATTCTTTCATGTACCGTTCATGAACGAGACCTACAGATTTGAGTGCAAAAACCCGTGTGTCAAATTGAAGCGCTATGCATCTTCATCCGATGAGCGTGCTTGGTCAGCGAATGATACTAGAAAGTCTAAATTTTTGGTTGATCTAGTGGCTTGCCATACACCGATCGTGCGCCCTCTGGATACAAGCAACAGATCTCGTAATAGAGGCAATAAAGGTCGTGGTCAGGCTGGAGAGGCAAAAAATGTGGAACCGAAAAGGAGTAGAAAAAGCCCCAATAGCTCCGGTCGTCGGGCACGTGTGGAGTCAGTTAGTAGGCCTTCATCTAGCCGAAACCTGGCTAAAGGACGGGGCGGTTATGAAGGGCCAGGTTCAGGGCAGAAAGGACACGGTCATTCCGGCAGACGATATTCAAGACCAAATCAGGGTTACGGGAATCGTGGTATTCAACGTAAAAGAAGTTATGGTGGGCCTGATCCAGAGAGCCAGTTGCGTGGCGGCCGAGGTTCAATTTCAAATCAGCCCTGGTCACATGCAAATCCATATCCACGTCTGGATCAGGGGGGCTATGGAAATCCCGTTCCTGAGCAGAGTGGTGATCAGGAAGGTTACGAAGGTCAAGGTCAGGAATTGAAGTATCCTAAAAACCAAGAGAACTTCTATAGCCTAAAAACGGATCAGGACCAAGGTCATGGTGGCTACAGAGGTCCAGGTTGGACAGAATATAATGGCTGGAATCAAAGTCCAGGTCAGTACGAACGACAAGAAAGTTATGGAGATTCAGATCAAGAGAGCCTGGGACCGGGTCGCCAAGCTAATGCTACATCAGGTCAGTACTCAAATGGTTACGGGCATTCGGTTCAGCAGAGTTACGGACACTGTCCCTATTGCGAGTCGGATGAATTTAACTTGCGTTATGAAGATGAGAATACGGAAGGTCGAGGACAAAATGTTGGGGGTCCAGAACAGGGGGATAGGTGGTACAACTGTGAATACGCGGGGCAGCAGGACCAATGGCATAATGCTCGAGGCGGACAAGGAGTAGGTCAACGTTACGATGCTTACACCGCTCCATATCAAAATAATGACGAATGGTGGGCCAACAACGTGGATCAAAAGCAATAAGATTCAAACATAAATGGCTCATCTCATTATCACGACGACAGTTATTTTAATAGTGTAGAGTAGCACGTGCGAAACAAAAACTGGAGAGAAAAAGTAATACATCAAAATAAAAAATTTATAAAATTGTATGTCTTTAAAAAAGAACATACGAATGTTTTGTGATAATCATTTCCACTCTATTACAATTGATTTTAATTGCTTTTAACAATAATTCAAGGCAAATTATAAAGTTAGATAAAATCAATTATAAGAAGAGATGTGAATGATTTAAGAATTAAAGACAACTTAAAAAAAAAATAATGTTTTTTTCTTATTTGGTTTGCAAAGTGAAGGACGTGTCTGTCTCCTCTTGCATATTCTTCAGGCACAAGCCCAACTGCCGTCGCTGTATATCCACTTTCAACACGGAGGCAATTATGCGATCCCCAATGCTTAGCTCAATGTTGTTCATGTGGTTCTTATGGATGAGGCCGTCCCGGTCTACGCCTATGTCCACGAAGGCGCCAAAGTGTGTCACATTCGTGACTGCACCTATTTACGAATTGTAGAAGAAAGTTCGCTGTTTAATTTCATTTATTTCAATTTAATTACTTGCCTGTCACCACATCACCAACGCTAAGATCTTCCAATCGTGTTAGGCCTTGCTTGAATAGCGGCCGTTTGTCCAAGTCTACACGATAATCCTGTAGCAACTCACGCTGCAGCGCAACCAGCACAAACTTTAACTGAAAACAAGTAAATGGGGTAAGAGGACGATCGTTGGTAGAATAAGCAAATTTCTTACCCTATCAATGGGCAGTTTGTGCCTTCCAGCAAGCTCTTCAAGATTCTGCTCCGAAATGCTGAACTCCTTGATGCGCTGAATAAACCTGACCTTGCCAATGTCTGAGACTTTTAACTCACATTTCCCAATAATGCTGTAGAAAATCCAACAAAATTATTTATATCAATTATCATTGTCTTATATATTTTTCACACGGGACAATTTCCAATATTTTAATTATCATATATATATATGGCGCCCAAAATGAAGGTCACTGAGCTCAAAAAGCTATACGAAGAGCGTTGGAACTACCCGCCGAAACAGAAGTCGCCCAAGATTCGATTCATTTCTTGCGGTAAAAGCCCCAATTACGGAATTAAGAAGACTTATGAGCCTTGCTGGAAGCCCCCCATGGAGACGAAAGCTGATGTACGTTTTGGTCCATGCTGGGACTACCCTCCGGAACGTTATAGGCGTCGACCATTGCCACCGCCATGTCGTGGCGCCACCATTCCAGCCCACCTCTTGGTGCCGGAATTCGATCATTGCCAGATGGTTTACACACGCTGCGATTTCCGCCTAGAGGAGTGTGTGCATCAGCAGATACTGTTCATTGAGCATCTGTTGAGGAAACTAGAAGACCAATTCACACACGCCAAGACATATCAAATCGACCTGGCTAAACAGTTGCGATATCACTCCATACGTCGTCGCCTATTAATTGGTTCTGCTTGTGGTATTCAAATCTATCCAGAGTATCTCAGCCAGATGGCAGAAAACCGTGCAGTCTGCGATTTCCAAAAGGCGCATAATGCTATCAAGCAGTCAAAGTAAGCTATTTATTGCATTTAAATTGACATTGGCTCATTGTTATCTTATGCAGTGCTGAGCTAGCAGCTGGTGTTTTGCAATTAAAGAACGCTATGCCAGAGCTGCAAAAGCGTTTGGACAAACTGGACCGCACGGTAAACAGCCCATATATTTTAAATCTGGAAAGGGTACTGGAAACTATTCAAGATCTGTACGATTACTTTTTTGAGGTGACGCGCAAGTATAAGACCTGGGAACAGCTCATCGATCCCGCCCAGGAGCACTCTGTCGATGATTATTTGGGTCTACTGCGCACTGAACAGAGCTTCGAAAGCTTTAAAAATGCCGGCACTGAGCATTGCACCTGCAAGCGTTGCCAAAATAGGAATCCCTTAACTCCTTATTTGCCCTACTGGTGCCAGGGATGTGATCGGTCCAATAAAGACGTAAAACTGGTGCAAAAAGATTATCTCTGCAACATTAACATGAATGCTCAGCTGGATTCTAGCGACACTAGCTATCTGGAGAAACAGAGTGATACCTCACTGCTACAGGCCGAGTTGGAAAAATTAAATGAGAATTTAAATTAATTAAGCACTATTATAAATTAGTCAAAATTACGAATTTACGTTTCGGCAAATATATTTGACAACAATTAGTGAAACTCACGCTTCGGCCAATTTATAACTTTCGGGATGCACCCAGGTGCAATCAAGCGGATTGGCTAATTTTCCACCAACACTAAGCGGTTCGATGCGTACGAAGCCTGCGCATTGGACATAGGTTTTCTCACCTATGCTGCGAACAGTGAGTAGATCCTTCCGCGATTTAAATGGTCCCTTTTGTGTGCGATGTTCAATGATCTTTTCGGCCTTCTTTTCAGACAATCCAGCAATGTGTCTGGAAATAAATATGCATAGTAAAATTATAATATATTATTTATTGCACATTTTATAACCTACTTTAACACACTGAGACTCGCTGTATTTAGATCCACGCCAACAAAGCTAACACACTCGGAGACTACATCGTTCAGAGTCTCCGAAAGCATTTTCTCATTCACGTCGTGCTGGTACATGCCCACACCCAAATGGCGGGGCTCAATCTTCACGTATTCACTTAGCGGATCATTGAGACGACGTGCAATAGATACTGTAATGCGATTTTGAATGATATCTAAATCTTACTGGGGTTCAAGAGCCACACCGACCTGCGCTTATCAAATTCATATCCATATTGGGAAACTCTTTGGTCGCCACAACGCTGCATGAGTAAATAGAGGCGCCATTCTCATTTACAATACTATAGCGAATGCTGCGACTGTCCAAAACGCCCGATTGGAAGAGAGCTGTCAGCCACATCTCTGTATCACGGCAGGCAGTTCCATTTCCCAGAGCAATGACGCGGCAACTATGACAATAATAATTAATAATTAATTAATTAATTATAATTCAAATGTCACAATTATAAGCGAATCTGATTACTTGTGGTCGCTAAGAAGCTGCACCAGCTTTTGCTCGGCTCCTTTTCGATTAGCATGTCGCCCATGCGGATAGATGACACTCGATTCCAGTACGTCGGCTGTCTCGGATATAAGAGCTAATTTACATCCATTTGTATAGCCTGGATCAATGCCCAGAATGCGTTCACCTTTCAGCGGTGATATCAGCAATAGTTGCTTTAGATTCTTTCCAAAAACTTCAATTGCTGCCCTGATAGCCTTCTCTTTTAACTTGGCTCGAACCTGACGACAAAGCAGAGGCTGCACTTCAAAAGGTATACAAATTATAAGTATTGTTTGTTGTTTACTGATGCAGCTTACATTTTTTTGTGTAGCACTCTTCCAGTGCGCGGGTAAAAACCTCTCTGCGTAGAGGATACTGGAGGCCTTCGGTCATATACTGTTCCCATATAAAACGTATGAGATCAGACTTTAAATAATTGTTGGTCTCCACCTTAACGGTCAGAAATTTATGTTTCTCGCCCCGATTGATAGCCAGTGTTTGATGTGGCTTGATTGTCTTAACGTCACATTGAAAATTGAAATAATTCTCGAATTTTGAACTATCAAGCTTCTTATCCGCAATGCCGCTAGAAGCAGCTTTGCCTTTACCACCTTCCTTTGAGACTGTCGTACATTTGGCCTTGCTGCACTTGAGCACAATGCGCTGTACGGTTTGTCTGTAAGTCAAAAAATTAAAACGTATCAAGCTATATTGATATGTGTCCATTTTGGTCTGAACTTACAGGCGACGCAATTCTTCAAGAACATTTGTGTTCTTACTTATGCTGTGTATAATTATGTTACATATTCCAACCATTATTTGCTCTTCTGTCGCCAAATCCTGATTGCTTGGATCAATAGCTGAGGCCAGTTGCACTTTGGGTGCTGTTCCGTAAAGCAAGGAGTCGGCATGTTGCTGCAATCCCAAAGCCTTAGCGCGCTCTGCCAAGGTGCCCTTGCTAGCCGGTTTGTATGGTGCATACAAAAATTCAAGCTCTTCATTGGTCTTCGCACACATTAGTTCTTCTCGAATTTCCGTATTGAGCACATTCTCTCGCTCTAGTTGATTAACAATATTCTCTGCCCTCTTTCGCAGATCGACAATCTCCGAGTAAGTGTTCCGTATGTCTCGCAATCGTTCTGGTGTTACGTGATCCACAAGATCCCGTCGATAACTATGGGTACACATATTTATCAACAACATGAATCTCAAGAAATGTTTCTCAATAATACCGGCAAATAAATGGAATGGTATTCTCATTTTCAAACAGCTGCACAATGTTCCGCGCTGCTGTCGGTTGTATTTGTTCCGTTTCGGCTAAAAGCTCATGTATGCTCCAAACTTTGCGTCGCTCCCAGAACGAGCTACGACCTGTGGTGGAACTGGCGGTCGCCGGAATCGAGCTGTGCACGCCTTCATTTTGAGATAATTCTGTCGACAATGGTAGTTCCACAGCTGCTTCAGTAACATTGTTGCTTTGGTTGGGTAAGGCATTCTCTTTGTCCTGTTTCGCGCGTTTTTTTTTTGTCTCTGATGCATCGCTTTTGGAATCCTTTCCTCGCTTTCTGCTGCCACTACTATTGACATAATATTTATTTAATGTATTCTAATAACGAATTGAATCTTGCTTAAATATAAAAAAGCTTACGCGCCAGACGCTACAGTTGCTGCGGCACGATCTATGAAACGACGACGCGTCTCAGTCGGTTTATATTCATCATTGTCGTTAGCCTCACTTGCACTATCTTCAGAGTCAGATACCTCAATTATTTTAGTTCTTTTAGCTGCTAGGCGGCGCGGTCTTGTGGACATTTTAATAAAGCGGCTAAGAAATAATGTCAGCTTATATTTTGTTGCTGTTACTGATATCGATATTCCTTCGATTTGCACAAATATTGGTATCGATACTTAATAACATTCTTGTACATAATTGCTGTTATCAGGAGCTGAAGTGCACATAGTTGACTAATAGCGGAGCGTGTTCGCATGTTAGGCGCGCAGGAATACCTGATATTTAAAAATAATAATGACAACTTTCATTATTATTAAATGTCAGGTACCTTCATTATTATTAAATGTCAGGTATTTATAATTCAATTTAATAAGATGATGATTATGCTGATAATAATTTTGGACGGACTAATTTATAAAGAAATTGTACTCTTGTATTATTTAATGTTCATCAGAGTAAGCTGTGTGTCAAAACAGACATGAACATTCACATGGTTTTTTACAGAATATTACAGTAAAGTAGCAAATGTGAAAATTGTCGCACGTGAAGTATTAGAATATTTGGTGATACAATTGATGCCGGACGTATTTTCAATATTACTTTTTAATCTGTCCAGCCATAAACATTTCATAGAAAAAATTGAATTTTGTGTTCTAAAATAATTCGCTTTGTAAGGTCGACCAGTGCGAGCTCTTGGGCATTGCAATATGGCGTTCTCCACCCAGAAAGAATTCTTTCATGTGCCTTTTATGAACGAGACGCTTGAGTTTGAGTGCAAGGAAGCTTGTGTCAAGCTAAAATCCTATCCATCTTCATTCGATGATCGCTCTTGGTCCGCCGACGAGGACAAGAAGTCTCGTTTTGTCTCCGATCTGGTGGCTTGCAATACGCCATTTATTTGGCGCACTGGTGATGGTGCCGGAGGCAAAGGAGGCGGGCCCGGTGGTGGGCCTGATGATGGTTCTGATGGTGGACCTGATGGTGGACGTGATGGTGGTCGTGATGGTGATCGTGATGGTGGTCGTGATGGTAAACCTGATGGTAGGCGTGATGGTAAGCCTGATGGCAGGCGTGATGGTAAACCTGATGGTAAGCCTGATGGTAGGCGTGATGGTAAGCCAGATGGTAGGCCTGGTGGTAGGTCTGATGGTAGACCTGATGGTAGGTCTGATGGTAGGTCTGATGGTTGGCCTGATGGTAGGCCTGATGGTAGGTCTGATGGTAGAAGTCCTGATGGAAGGTATGGCGATGGTGATGGTGATGGTGATGGCCGAACTGGCGGCAGAGCAGGAAAACCTGGGCAGAAACAGCAGGACCCAGGTAAGGGCGACAGGTCCGGCACAGATCAGGGTCAAGGACGCGGCAGTCCAAGCGGTTCAGGAACTAGCGGACAAGGTAAAAGAAGTCCAGGTCAAGATCAGGGTGATTATGGACCGGGTCAGGGACCTGGCCAACAATCAAATCAGGGTGACGAATTCTATGGAGATCCTAGTCAAAGGGATGCATATGGTACACCCTCTGGTCGGAATCAAGATGATCCGCGATCCCGAAATCCAACAGATCCTAGTCAAATGGATGCATATGGTACACCTTCTGGTCGGAATCAAGATGATCCGCGATCACGACAACCAACAGATAATGACGGACGAGGCGGACCAAATCAAGGCAAGGACTATTGGGATCCCCAAAACGATGGTCAGTCACCTGGGGGACGTGCAGGGCCACAACGTCAGGATGATCAAGATCCTGGTGATCGGGGGAAAGGACGTCCAGGTCGAGGTCCGAAAAAACGGCCTTGTGGGCCGAACAGTTGTCAGGGTACTTGTACTCGTAACAGCTGTAAGCATGGACCATCTAAAAAACGGCCTGATCAAGAAGGTAAAGATCGTCCAGAACAAGACGAACCACGACCTGGGCAGGATATTTGTCAGGATTGCTGTCGGGGGATGTTTGGTCCTGGAGGTCCGGGTCCAGGAGGTAGTGGAGGTCCTGGAAGACCACCCGGTGGTCCGGGAGGTTATGGAGGTCCTGGTGGACCACACGGCGGTTCCGGCCCGGAAGGATATCGTGGTCCTGGGGGACCAGCTGGCTCAGGACGTCCTGGTGGCCCACCCGGTGGCTCAGGGCCGGGTGGTTATGGAGGTCCGGGCCCCGGAGGTCCTGGAAAAATGCCCAGCTGTCCGAGCCCGACATGTTATAGAGGTTCTGGTGGACCCGGCGGCTCTGGCCCGGGAGGGTATGGAGGTCCTGGTGGACCCGGCGGCTCTGGCCCGGGAGGGTATGGAGGTCCTGGTGGACCCGGCGGCTCTGGCCCGGGAGGGTATGGAGGTCCTGGTGGACCCGGCGGCTCTGGCCCGGGAGGGTACGGAGGTCCTGGTGGTTCAGGCCCGGGAGGTTATGGTGGACCACCTGATGATCCGGATCCAGATGATGAGACTCCTTGTCAATGCTCGGGATCTTTCAAGGGCCCACCTGGTGGCAAAGGGTCGAATCGGGGCGATTTGAATGGCGACAGCCTTCTGGTCGCTGCGGACGACACTATTGAGACCCTGAAAAACGTATTGGTTAACAACAGAATAATTGATCCAATTGATTCTCGAGGTCCTAAGGCTACCCGTAAAATGCAAAATCCAGAAATCCAACGCATAATGCAACAGCGCTATAATCCTGAAATAAGTCAAGCGTTTGATAATAAAATTAGAGAATTATCAGATGCTAGAAAGATAAACAATGCCGATGAAAGGGAACTGCGAAATATCCAAAGGGCCGTCGATGCTATGAATAAGTCGCAAGATATTTTAGAAGCTGAAAATGGTAATCTAAGAAGAATACTTGAAAAACAGGCGAGGCGTGCTTCGATGGATAGCATTAAAATTGACCCAGAAAGAAACAACGATGTCCAATATTTACAAAATAAGATAAACAGTTTGGCCAAGGAGTTGGCAATACTGCGAAAGGCTGAGGACGAATTTTTAAGATCTGGAGGAAAACGCGGCGGAAATACAGGTTTTGATTCAAACATGGATGCCAATGGACTTGAAATTATGTTGGCTGAACGCGAGTCTCTCCGCAACAAAATTATGTCATTGGGGTCGCTCGACGATTTGTCGAAGGCTTCGCAGAAAAGGGCTAGAGAGAATGTTGAGCTCGCGAAAACTGTCAATCAGCAAAATCGTTGCATTTGTGACATGGAGAATGACATTCATGAAATGCAGCAATACTATGAAAATGAAGTCGAGAAAACCAAATATAACGAGGAAGTCCTTAAGGTAAGACAATGCTTTCAAGTGTTGTTGTATCTCCGAAATATAATATCCATTTGCAGTGTCGCTGTAATGAGCTCCAGCAGCAAGTGGTGACTCTCCAGCCGGCGAAGCAGCGTGCGGACGTTATGCACATGGAAATTGATGTTCTGAGAAATGAGTTGCGTAAACGTGATTTAGCGTTGAATTCCTACGATTGCCAGTATCAGCAGCTAATGGTAAGCATTTGTCATCGGATGGCGATGAATTTTATGTGTCACCCCGTCTCTTGTCTTCCAAAGCAAAAAACTAAAGCGTTCAAGAAATCTGGGTACCGTTACCTAGACGATTTGATAGAAAATTGCTGTGATAGTTGTGTCAATGATACTGGGATAGAGGATAATGGAGATATTACATGTTGACTCCGTACCAAATATATTTGCACGTTCAGCCCCATACGACAATTCATGCCTAAATTCTGTAGTACCTCCTAAAATTAAAAGTGCATCTTAAGAAATAGTTAGCAAAAAAGAAAACCATTGAAAAAAATTGAAAACATGAATGGTATGAGAGGAAAGTCGTTAGAGTACGTCTCTGGATTGTTAGCGGCTTAAACACATGTCTATTGCTCCTTTCCTCTTTCTCAAGCCCTTGCATACAGTTTCAATCCTCAGCAACCTCCAATGATTTTCCTCTCTAATGCCTTGTTTTGTTTTCACACACATCCCGATCATTTTAGGCCGTTATATGTGAACTAAATCAAAAATATGGGAATCAACGTTCTGACTGCCCGCCGTTTGATGAACCACCAGACTGTCCCGATGTTGGGGATGATTTGGCCTTCTATACGAGTGTCACTTTGGAACACATCATGAACGAGCTGAGTAAACAAGCCGATTGCTTTAAGCAAATGAGTGAGGATAAGTATGGCGGTGGTGGGAGTATCAACAATTTAGATGACTGCGCGAACGAGCTGGAACGCTTGCGGAATTTGTTAAAGGCTAAGGATGGCCAGTTGGGTGATCTGATTGAGGAGAATGACTGCATGTGTGAAGCCGCTATGCAAAGCAAAAAGCGACTCAACGAATTAGATAGGAAAGTGCAGCAACTTGATGATGACACAAGGTATATGGAGGAAGGTATGCGAGAGAGCATTGGACTAATACATGATATTGGGGATGTTGCCAGAGAGAATGATAAACTGAAGGGTAAGGTCGATGACTTGAAAGCAAGGGAATTACAGAAACGGTTGGAAGACTGCATTCAAAACAGGGAGATGTGCGAAGAAGTAAATAAAGCTTATCAATCTGCGTTGAAGGATCTCGGAGTGAATCCTGATGATATTGCAAATGAAGCCAAAAGTAAATTGGAAGAAAAGCGGAAAGCAGAGGAGGAGGCCAGGAGAGCAGCGGAAGAAGCGAGGAAAGCGAGAGAAGCCGAACAAAGACCAGGCGCAAGGCCTGGAGATACTGCTGCCAGAAGGCCTGGTGATATGACTACAGATTCTGTAACCGGAATACCTGGTGATATAACCGGAGCTTCAGCAGGCAGAAAGCCTGGTACTGCGCCTTCAGATTCAGGGCCCGAAAGATTTGGTGTTACGCCCGGAGATTCAGCAGTCGGAAGACCTGGTCAATGGCCCGCGGATTCAGAAGGCGGAGAGCCTGGATATTCAGCAGTCGGAAGACCTGGCGAATGGCCCGCGGATTCAGGGCCTGGGGAACCTGGAGCTGCGCCCGGTGATTCAGCAGCTCGAAAGCCGGGGCTTATGCCTGGAGACTCGGCAGGCGAAAGGCCTAGTGAATGGCCCGCGGATTCAGTAGCCGGAAAACCTGGTGAACGGCCCGGAGATGTAGCAGCCGGAAGACCTGGTGCTACACCCGGAGATGTAGCAGCCGGGAGACCTGGTGCTACTCCCGAAGATATAGCAGCCGGAAAACCTGGTGCCACGCCCGAAGATATAGCAGCCGGAAAACCTGGTGCCACGCCCGAAGATATAGCAGCCGGAAGACCTGGTGCCACGCCCGAAGATATAGCAGCCGGAAGACCTGGTGCCACGCCCGAAGATATAGCAGCCGGAAGACCTGGTGCTACACCTGGAGATGCAGCTGGGAGACCTGGTGCAACACCCGGAGATGCAGCTGGGAGACCTGGTGCTACGCCCGAAGATGTAGCAGCTGGGAGACCTGGTGCTAGGCCCGAAGATGTAGCAGCTGGGAGACCTGGTGCTACGCCCGAAGATGTAGCAGCTGGGAAACCTGGAGCTAGGCCCGAGGATGTAGCAGCTGGAAGACCTGGTGCTACACCCGGAGACTCAGGAGCCGGGAAACCTGGTGCTACACCCGGAGATGCAGCAGCTGGGAGACCTGGTGCTACGCCCGGAGATGCAACAGCCGGAAAACCTGGAGATGCAGCAGCTGGAAAACCTGGAGATGCAGCAGCCGGAAGACCTGGAGATGCAGCAGCCGGAAAACCTGGAGATGCAGCAGCCGGAAGACCTGGAGATGCAGCAGCCGGAAAACCTGGAGATGCAGCAGCCGGAAAACCTGGAGATGCAGCAGCCGGAAAACCTGGAGATGCAGCAGCCGGAAAACCTGGAGATGCAGCAGCCGGAAAACCTGGAGATGCAGCAGCCGGAAAACCTGGAGATGCAGCAGCCGGAAAACCTGGAGATGCAGCAGCCGGAAAACCTGGAGATGCAGCAGCCGGAAAACCTGGAGATGCAGCAGCCGGAAGACCTGGTGCTATGTCCGGAGATGCAGCAGCTGGAAAACCTGGTGCTACGCCTGGAGATGCAGCAGCCGGAAGACCTGGTGCTATGTCCGGAGATGCAGCAGCCGGAAAACCTGGTGCTACGCCTGGGGATTCAGGAGCCGGAAAACCTGGTGCCACGCCCGGAGATGCAGCAGCCGGAAAACCTGGTGCTACGCCTGGGGATGCAGCTGCCGGAAAACCTGGTGCCACGCCCGGGGATTCAGGAGCCGGAAAGCCAGGTGCCACGCCCGGGGATTCAGGAGCCGGAAAACCTGGTGCCACGCCCGGAGATGCAGCAGCCGGCAAACCTGGTGCTACGCCCGGAGCTGCAGCAGCTGGGAAACCTGGTACTACACCCGGAGATGCAGCATCTGGAAAACCTGGTGCTACACCCGGAGATGCAGCAGCTGGGAAACCTGGTGCAAAACCCGGAGATGTAGCAGCTGGGAGACCTGGTGCTACGCCCGAAGATGTAGCAGCTGGGAGACCTGGTGCTACTCCCGGAGATGCAGCAGCTGGAAAACCTGGTGCTCCGGCTAAAGGTGCAGGGGCCGGAAAACTTGGTGCTACGCCCGGAGATGCAGCAGCTGGGAGACCTGGTGCTACGCCCGGAGATGCAGCAGCTGGGCGACCTGGTGCTACGCCCGGAGATGCAGCAGCCAGAAAACCTGGTGCTGCGCCCGGTGATTCAGCAGCCAGAAAACCTGGTGCGACGCCCGGTGATTTGGAAGCCGCTGCGGCGGCTGGCGATAAGAGTGGTTTTGCGCAGGCTAAACAGGTAGGTCGACCATCCAGACAACCTGGTGCTAAGCCTGGTGGTGTTGGTGTTGTTGGTGTTGGTGGTGGTGGACCAAGGGAACAGGCTCAAAAGTCAGGCGGTGATGGTTTCGATGCACGAGGCCATAAAACCGCTGGACACAAAGGAAAAAGGACAGGTGGTTCAAAAATGGATGATACTACTGAAGAGCAGTTCGACGAGTTTGTGAAAAACACAGCGCAAACGTTAGCAGCCGGCGAGATTGATGGTGCTGGCTTGGAAAGGGAATTACGTAAAATATTGGATATGTTTATCGATGAGTGTGGATTTTGTTTCTGCAAATGCAACATTCCAAAAAGTCGCTTCTATGCTATCTGCCATAAGCTCTACCATTATGGGCTGCATACGTTAGACTTTAAGGATCTCGCTTACATGCACAAGCGTATATTTGCTGCCGCAGAGAACATTCTGCCAGGTTGTCTGTTTAATATGATAATGAAGGATATATTGTCCTTAAATCCACAGAGCCTCATTCCATCAACATCCGTTCAAAACAAACAGTGTTGTACTTGCAAGAGCTCACTCTGCTGCGATGACACTGAAGACAAACTTATGATAAAAGGTTCGTTTTATAAATATCAATGCTCATCTATTTAATTGTTTGTTTTAGTAATGCGTCTCGAAAATGACATTGAGAATGCCAAGGTGTGCTTAAAGAATTTAAAAAGCATTCCATCTAATCTTTCTATACGTGATTACCGTATGGAAGCTGGCGATTGTCCAGCAAAGTAAGTTAATAGGAAAAAAATTATATTGTCAAATGCTAACTCTAATGACTTCACAGGGATCGTGTGCTGCGTTCTACTCGTGGGGGGAATTCTATCACTATTTACAAAGAAATTAAGCAAGCACGACGTGCTAAGGTGGTAACTCTTATCACGTACAGTTTCCTTACGTGTTTTAAAACTGCTTTATTTTTTCTAGAAGGAACTTTGCACAAACAATTGAATATTTTTTTTTGTGTTTTTTATCATTTGGGTTGGATAAAGTAATAAGTCCTATCAAGCGCTCAGGGATAAAGATCCAACCATAAAATTCGTTGTGAAAAGTTAATATTAAATTTAAATAAATGTTAAAAATGTTAATCCTGTGTACTCGATACCTATACGTGCTAAGGTATCGATGGTTTGATGGCTAACAGCTGACCGTCATATAAGTATATCGATAGCTGATTGTATAAGCATGCAATAAGTTTCAAGTTTTTATAAAAAAATCAAAATAGCCATGGAGAAACTAGTATGTTCCAGCATGAAACTCATCCAGATGCAGGTGGGATTGAATGGGATATTTGGTGCTCGTAGGTTTCACTATAGCTATTGTTCGTGCAAATTTCAGATGCCGCAAGCAGTATCATTGGGAGTGCGTTCGTTGCTTCCGGGCTTACAAAGTGCGTGCCAATTACAGCAGGTACGCCATCGACAGACTAAGCACTGGAAGCCTGAATTTAAAAGGTTGCGCAAGCAGAAGTTTGTCAAGATTGATTTGCCCAACTTGCGCGAGAAACCTGCAGATATAAGCAAGGATGAGATGCGTAGCCGTATGAAAGAACGTGGTGTATTGCCTCCGCGTCCATGGATGGAACGTCCGTTCCACATCAGTTGCACGGGTGGAATATTTGAGGCTTACGTACCACCAGAAGGAGATGGCAAGAAATCTATAATTTCCTCTTCGGGCGCTAAGCAGAAATTGGAATTTCTCGAAAAGAAATCTAAAAGTCTTATGGCTGTACGGAAAATACGCTCTTACGAGGAGAACTTCAGCAGCGACGACTTTGGTGCACAAGCCCAGGAGATTTACATAGCTGCACATACGCATATGGCGGCAAAGGAGAAGTATGCGATAAGAGAGTTTGTTAGCGAACGTTGCTATCCCGAAATGATGCACAATGTTAAAGATAAGACAATACATTGGCGATTCCTACAATCGTTGGAGCCGCCTCGTGTGGTGCACGCTCGCGTCACAGAAGTTATCACCAAGGAGAATCAGTTTGCTCAGGTTACAGTACGCTTTCATTCTCAACAAATGCTGGCTATATATGATCGATTTGGTCGACTAATGCATGGTAGTGAGATTCTTAGCAAAGATGTTTTAGAATATGTTGTGTTTGAAAAGCACATTTCCAATGAGTACGGCAAATGGCGACTGCATGACAAGATCATTCCCGATTGGCTACCAGCAAAGCAACCAGCACCTATTACGTATCGCATCACAGACGAAATTGTGGAGGACACTCCCAAGGAGCTAAGCGCCGGCGAGCAGCCAAAGCAATTGGAATCATCCAGCACTAATCAGCAAACGGAACATATTAACATAAGCAGCGTCCAAGCAACAGCCACATCTCAGACGTCCGAGCACGGCGCTAAGCCGAGCATAGCTATTTGATTATACTTTCTGTGGGCTGCCTGGCGGCTCAGAAGATTTCACGTTCACATTTTATAAAACGGATATTGAAACTTCATAAAACTTATTTTTGTTTCTTTTTATTTTAACATCTAATTTCTACATTCATCTTCGAAATCTTGCAAATCATATTTGGTGTTTGGGTCCATGTAGACACAAATACTATTTTGCTTAACTTGAAATAGATTTACATTGCCGTCGCACCAACTCCGCTTAGAGAGCAAGCATCGATCGCATTCATAGTCATAAATAATACAATTTTGTCACAACTCTGACACTTCCCATATGGTGGAACTAATGTCCAAATGCCAGACAAAGTAATGTTAAGCTGCATCTAATACATATTCGTACCTGCATACCGAGTTACCCTTTCGTAGTCTAGTAGTCGCATCCAGACTGCACGTTGCTGCAACAGGAATAGTAGAGCTGAATAACCTTCAACTTGTAGGTCTTTAAATATCGAGTGTTCTGTGTAAGAATTATAGAAATTACCCGAAAATTTATGATTTTTGTGTTTAATAACATTTGCATTGAGACAAACAGTAATTAGTGTACAGGTGGTATATGGTATATACATATATTCGAGGAGTCATACAGACACTATTAAGCAACGTCTGTCTCAACCCAGATTGCTAGATTAATAAGTCATACTAAATCGCCCACTTTTAGCTTTTCAATAGATTTCAATTGAAATATTCCAATTCGAAAGATCTTTGGGAAATGCAAATTTCCATTAAATATTTATGTAAAAACTAAATAACTATATATATTTCTAAATGTAAAGCTGTTCATATAATGCAGATGCACACTTGTTTCTGCAAAATGCGAAGGTTTTATGTTTAAATATAGGTATTTATTTATTTATTTAAACTTAAGAGAACGTGCAGCTAATTATAAATACGATCAGCCCGCGAAGCAGCTGTGTGCCACAACGTTCGTCATATATCCTTTTGATGGGCACTTATAAAACACTTCATAGAATACAAATATTAATAAATATATATATATATAAAAGTATATACAATGATCAGTCGAAGATCGATAAGTAGACTTAGGGTTAAACAAAGCTGCTGCTGGGTTCATCTAGATACGCGCAACGTGCGCTCGCCTGCTCCAGCGATTTGCGTGCCAAGTCCATCGGTAGCTTGGTGGCAAAGGATAACGCTGTTGCTGTGCCTGCAGGCGACGTTGTCGCCGTCGTGGATGTCGGCGTCAATGCGGATGTATGCTTGGCGGGCGAGAATTTGTTGCTGTAGTTGCCATTGGGCGGAGTATTGGCCACGCCCCAATTCGATGGCTTAATGGGCAACACCTTTGGCTTGGGCGGCAATGGTGGCGGCGCTTTGGTGAATTCCTGCAAATCCTGCTGTTCAATGGACGCTGCCGTTGCCGATGCCAATGCCGGTAAGTCTGCCTCGACCTCAAGATCTACCTTCATGGGTGACTGTTGACTGCGTGTAATGGAGAGGCGTGGCGCTGGTTGAGGCGCATCCGTTCCGCTGCTGCTGGCCTTATTAACTGGACTCAAATTGGCGCGCACCTTGCGTAGCTTAGAGGCGGCCGCATTGAGATTCTCTTTGTTCTTCAGAAAGTCGGGCAGATCAAAATTAATCTCAGTGCCCCGCTGATCCTCCAGGCGCGCCAACTGCGCTCGCTTCAGGCCCTCGAGTAGTTCATCTGCATATTATGAAATTTCAATGTTAGTAAATCAAGCAATAAGCGACAATTGGTGGGCAGCACTTACCCTGGTGCTCTGCTACTCGCTCCGTGGACTGCAATTTGACGCCCGCCTTAAGCTTGGCTATGATGGGTTTTTTGGGATCGGCATTGGGCAATGTCGTTGCCACTGCGGCTGCCTCCTCGGAATGTTGACTGCTCGTGGATTTCTTTTTGAGCTTGGGCAGCTTACTGCCTGGAATGTTGCTATTGTCGCGCTGTTGACGTCGCATGCGCTCGAATAGCGTGGAGGAGCTCTCCGAGGGTGCTTCGTTTGACTTCATGGAACACAGATCGCTTGACTTTTGGGTCGGCCCCGCTGCAGCATCCGCTTTGCTCTGCAGTAGCTCATTGAACACCTTGTTGGTGAGCTCGTCCAACTGGCCCTGCGCCGAGTCCGTCGTCAACGTGGGTAGCGGTTTCATTGGTTTACTAAGCTTCGGCGGCATGCTACTGCCGCCTTGCTGAAAATCCGGCTGGATCAGTGCTATTTGAAGCCGCTGGCCGTCGGCCACCGTGACGGGCTGCATCAGATCAAGCGGCGCTTGAGTATCGCGCAGCAACACCTGCACGCTTTCCATTCGATAGTTATATTTGTTCAATATGGGCCGGATTACCTCGTGCAGCTGCTTCTTCGGCTTGCTTTTGACCGATATGACCTTCGGATCGGGCAAATCCAGTTTGAAGGCCACCCGACGCTCGATTAGCACCTCTTTGCCAGCCAGCAACTTTGATGACTGTTGCGTATCTATGGACTTGTTGCTGCCCTGTATTACAACATCATAATGGGGATAGACCAGATTGCGTTTCTCCAGTAGACGCTCCACCAGCTGGGCCACGGTCTCGCCGGGACGTGTCTGCACAATGGTTGTGGCTCCGTCGGTGAGTATAACTCGGCACAAGGAGCAAACATTATCCGCGCTGGCACCTTGTCCGGCCTGGTTGGCATCGAAAGATGACAACGAGGATCGGGAACTGTGTAAATCGCTCACTGAGCCACCAGACAACAGCGTCAGCAGAGGCGCTGGCGCACCTATCGTAGTTACGCCTGGTGCTTGCGGCGGAGGCATCAACGACTGCTGCAGATCGCCCATTATTTCGCTGCGATCACGGGATTTGCTGCGCGTCTTGCGATGCCAGGGCAATAGGCTCTTACGTCGCCGATCCTCTGCATTGCTTGCGGATTTCTTGAGCTGAAATTGCCATCGAAGTATTGAGATTAAACTCCACTAGGATAACAGCTCAGTTACTTACCTTGGGCGAGGCCACTACGTGAAAATTTGTCTTCAACAGCTCATCCAGATCGGCACCCGTAAAAGGTAATGTCTGTTGCTTCTGCTCTGCGTCCACGCAACTCTTGTACAGATCTGAGCGTATGAACCGTTGATAGCTATCGAATTTCATTAGGTTAAAGATTTGCTTTTGCGCCGCGGCAAAGATGTCCGTAGCACCACTTGTCAGCTTCTCTTCGCTTAGATTACGCGCTTGCGAGTCCACGTTAACTGGATCGCTGCTGCTGTTGGACAAATGCTTGCTAAAGATCTCCCGGGCTAGAGCTACGCGCTCTGACTCCGATTCCATGCATCTATAGCGCTCGCAGGCGGTCCAGAAGTAAATATTCTCCGCGGAGAATTCCTTTTTCAGGAATTCCGCAAAGGTCTGCATGCCGGCTGCATCCTGCAGCATGCGTTCAAACGACGTGCCCCAACTGCTGGGACCGTTCTGCTCTTGCGGTGCCAGCTCCAGCGTCGACTCACCACCTCCCGCCTTCACCGTCACGCTGGACGGTGGCGCCGGTGTGGTAAGTATTTGCGGCACCTGGAAGAGCCCCAATTGCTGCGACTGCTTCGCCGGCTTGAGCTCGTCCAGCATGAGCGTCTTAATGTACACATCGTTGTCGGAGGCGTTCATCGAGGCAGAGCGTCGCACTGCTGGACTGTTGCCAGACCCTCCTACTTTGGCCACCGTGTCGGTGCGCGTCGTGCGAAACGATGATTGACCCCAGGCTCGACGAAAGGGCGAGGCATTGGACGGCAGTGCGCGGTTCTAAAATCAAACAAGCGAACAATAAATATGTTATCAATTGGTTGCCATTCAACACAACTAATGTCCACCTAAATAACTACACAAATACATGCATAAGTTGGTAAACAGAGAAATAAAACAGAAACAGGGTGATTCAACTTTCAGATAGTATAACTTTTTGGATAGGTTCTGATTTAAGTTTTAGCAGTTTGCATATCTCCTAACACCGCTCAGCTGCTCAGTCGTATTCAAAGTGTATTCATAGCCATCTTGCAGTTCAAGCACCCCCTGCGACAAGTTCATTTTCAGGGGCAATTTACAAGAACAAATTGAGGGAATGTAGAAATGAGGGACAGACTGCCCGATCACGTCTGTCATTATCACGGCCAAGCCCTAAACAGAGAGCACGATAAACTTTTGAACTTTTTAGAAGTTTTACATGGGCACGTCGCACTGTGTGTGTGTGTGTGTATGTGTGTGTGTGACGCATGTAACGACAGCAACAGTTCTAGCAACAGTTGCCAGCCGTTGGCAACTATTGCTCTGTCTACCCTACTACTCTAATTGTGTGAACAAATTGTAAAGCTAGCCTAGGCGTATATATGCATATGTCCATATATACATATACATCTCTCTATATATATATGTATATATATATATATATATATATATATGTGTGTCTGTGTATTGCGATGAGTGTCGTTTGTGGGACTGCCTGCACTGCCTGCCTGCCTGCCTGACTGGCTGTCCAATCCATTTGCTGCACTTTGCTGATAATCACTTTTGTCAGACAAACTCGAAGCCGTTGCCGCCGCTATTTATACATAATTTTCAACATATATCTGTTTGTATTTATGTTTATTTCTCGTTTGTTTTCTATACCCGACGGTTCCCATAAGAATGGGTTTAAATTGTACTGCAATAAAGTGCTGCCAATGCTGGTTAGAGACGAATATTTAAAGAAACTTCTAAGTCGACTTAAATCAACTTTACTTTATGATAAGTTAAGGTTTCTTTTTAAGATATCTGTATACTATAGAGATGTACATTGAAAGACCAAAGCTTCTCCAATTTGTGCTTACTTCCTTAACTATGTATCCTCTTTAAGCAGATGCTTTTCATTTCAATTAGTATTTTATTTTCTTAGCTTAATAGCTACAGGGTATACTCTAGTCTAAGTCTTGCTTTCTATCACAGTTATGCATTTCCCATCGTTTCAAATTTAATGATGATCTTGTTGCGAGAGATTAATGAATTCTGTTTCTAAGCTCGAGTTTCGCATTGACCGAACGTAAGCCACAAAATATTTTTACCTATATTTATTCATCTATATAAGTATATATACATAAGTAGTATACATGATGCTGTGTGTGTGAGAGAAATTTGGAAACATTTCCGGCTGGCAAAGTCGAACATAAAAGGCCAAAGCCAATTTTCATGCGACTCGACTTCATTAATAGAAACCAATTGGTTTGGCTCGGCTCGTGTGAGCTGAGATGGGACTTTTGGAATTGAACAATTGCCAGTCACGCCATCAAATGAAAGCATTCCAGAGATCTTCCCGAAGAGAAACTACAGATGGTACCCAGAGACACCATAAAAGTACCCGAATACAAACCAAGCTTTGCTCAATTCATTTAGTTTGTAGTCCATAAGATATGTATAATATATATTCATTGTCATGTTAGATTACTATCGCTTATGTGTTCACTGGACAGCAATTAAATTGAATACTTTAACCTTGATCTCTCAGCTATTACCTAACTAAAATAATAACAGAATTCACTTCATATTGTTTTTTTTTTTTAATTAATTTATGTCTGGAAAAACAAACAGTTGCAGCAAATACACACTTAGAATTGCAAATTATTGTACTCAAATAATTTAATTTATAGATGTAAACTAACAAATACTATCTACTTGTGTTTTGAAGAGGGTTTAAAGCGGGTTTCAAGAGGTTTTTTGAGATGTTTTCATGTTTGACAGAAATTTTAAAGAAAAAATGATTTCACAACAAAAGCTTGAGTTGCATAAATAAAGATAAAAGCTTAAGTATTATTATCACATAAGCTCATATATATGTTTATATAAGTGGACCTATATACAGATGCATATATGTATGTGTCTGTGTGAGTATAGAATGTGCACATGCATAGGAATTGGGTCAAAAAGAAGAGCAGAATGTGCCGACCCCACAAAAGTAAATGCACAACTTTAAAGGGGCAGAGGGTAAAGAAAGCAGAAAAGCAGCGAGCGGGGTCAAATGTGTTAAGCAGCAGCAGCCACCAATTGAAAGAGAGAGATAGAGAGAGAACGAGAGAGATTGAGAACGAGAGAGAAGCAAACGAACATAAATCAGCGTTGATTGCCAAACAATAGCAACAAAGGGGCATAGGCAGAGTGAAAGGGGCGAGGGGCGAGGGGCGACGGGGATTGTTCGTATTGCATGTTGTTGCTCTCTATTGTGGCGGCAACATTTAGCGGCAATCGGCAACGAGTGACGCGCAATTGTAAGTAGGAAATGAGCAATTTGCCAAAGTGAATAATTAAAAATAAATAAATGACACAAAAAATAGAGAAAAATCAAATGGAAAATTGAAAAATTAGCGAAGCAAAACGAAAGCCAAAGCTGGGCAACAATTCAAATTGCCGCACACACACACACACACACACACACCTAAACAGGTGGAATAATGAAGTAACAATGCCACGCCCCGCGCCTCTTTTCGTTGAGTGTTTTGCATGCGCGAGTGGACACCGAGCATGGACAGTGCTTTTTCCGCCGTTGGCAGCCGCAATTTAACCGCTGTAGCTGCCTCCTCATATTGAAGTCATCAGCAGCAACACGCCCTGCCACAAATTGTGGCATGAAAGTCATTGCGCTGAGTCTCGAAGATGTCTCGATGCGAAAGCCACAAACGGAAAAGAAAAAAAAACCCAAGAAACAAAAAATTATATATATAAAAGAAAATAAGCAAAATCCCACGAGTAAATTAACTTGAATGGCTTTAGCTCAGGTTACCAATCCAGCAGTAATCATGTCTATATAGCTTAATCTGCAGCGTTAAAGCATGAGCTAATGCGCTGCCATAAAGTAATACGATCCCAGCTCCAAGTATCAAGTACTGCTAACACAGTGAAAAAAGTAAATAAACTGATTTTAATTCGAAACCATATTTAGCAGTTAAACAATCGTTAACTTCAATCAAGTTTATTATTTCAACAAAAGATGTTTAGAGAAAATAAAAATAACGTATATTTCCCATTCCGATAATTCAATAAATAAATAAATGTAGACGTCATCTTTTTTTACTGTGTATAGCTGGCGCTTGGTTTGTCAAAAGCTTTTGGTAATTGTAGCCGGCTCCTGGCAAGCGAAGTGCCGAGTGAAAATTCTTGACGGTCTGTTGAGCGAGTCGTGAAATTGAGATTGTAAACGGTCTACGGTTTGTGAAGCTGTTTCCTGGCTTAATAACAATGCAAATGAATCATCATAATTAAGTTGGAGGCCTGTTTCGGACTACATCAAAGCCGCCAAATCTGATAAGCAGCTTCCACTGAAAGCTGCTGAAATCTAAAACCTAGAAACACAACCTAAAAGATACATCACGTACTTTTTGGCAGAGAGCCAAGAAAAACACGCATATCAATTTCTTGGAGAAAAACAAAGAAGTTCTCGACACCCAAAATGTAGATATATTCATATATTCATATTTGTACATGTACAGATATGGAATAATATCTTCTTTCAACATTTGCAAGATATAATTCCCAGAAGCGCGACACAGTTTCTTCGAAGTGCTGATAAATCATTAGTCCACAAATAAATAAATAAACAGCGATTAGAATTTCGAATATCTTATCTCGAATTGGGCCCATTGTCAATTGTCAAACAAGTGAGTAACGCGCGTAGAGGAAAGGGGCGGAGATCACAGCTCTCAGTGTTAAGTGCTGAGTGGGCGTTTCGCAATTACTTTATGCTAAAGGGAGAGCACACACATCCATGCAGGCATACATATACATAAACTGTTCGTAACGCATGCTAATGACAAAAACTAACTAACCATAGTTGGCAGTTGACGCTGTGAAACCTACCAGCAGACACAAACGCAGACGCAAACGCAATTGCAGTTGCAGTTGCTGTTGCTGTTGTTGCGTGCTTTGTTTTCGATTTCAATTGTTTTTTCTTTTTCGATAATTTTTGGTATTCCCAAGGCGTGTCATCGCATTGCGAAAATTTCGCTGATCTGCTTGTGTGTTAGTGTGTGTGCGTGTATCTGAGTAAGTGAGAAAGCGCAAACGTGCCGCTTTTGTCAACAAAACACAAACTTAACTGTGCACTTTTGCTTCACTTTCGGTTGGTATTTGTTATTGCTCTTTGGCACTGGCTTTATAATTACTTTTTGTGGAATTGTTTTTGTTCACACACTCCGATTGCGCCCCGCTCTCTCACACGCTATTCAAGTGCCGAGCTTCGAATCTCTGACTCGCAGCCCCAACGTGTATAAAATAACTGACATCGTCTGTTTTGTGCTCAGCCAGCTGCTGATCAGACGTCTGCACATATACGTACACACATACTGATATACATTAATGTATATGCCTGAGCATTTGATTGTTGTATCCAACCAAATCCAACACAGCGAACACACAGTAAACATGTTGTAACTGGGCGCTGGTTGGATCGATCCAGAAATTGGTTTGAAATGCTGGAGTAGGGATTTTCAGTTCATTGGGGAGGCCACACCTTTGTTGTTGGCCGAATGGTGATGAAGTTTTACATACAGACTTGCAGAAACTTATTTGTACAAATTTAAGTTCGAAGTGGTTTGAAACAAAAGTCGTGGTTCGATCAATCGTGGCTGACGCGTTCGAATTCACCTACACAATTGTTCGATCTCTCTCGCACGCACGCTCTTTTCGAAGTTTCGAACTCGACATACAGCTGCTTTTGTGTGAGATATTGCTTACTCATATTGCTATTGTTGTTTTATTATTTGCTGCTATAGGAATGTATCCAT